AGCCTCCTGGCCCAAGTATGACTTCAGCAACCTCGAAGCACCGGTCGCTAGGCTCAGAATGGGACAAGGCCATTGAACTACTCAAGGCCTATGCGCAGGTAGGCGAATCCGCAGAGCGTTGTGTAGCGGCACTGGAGATTCTGTCGTCGAAGATCCATGGCGGATCAATGCAAACAAGCCAGAGAGCCAAGGGGATTTCGACCTGTGGAGGACAACACTCGCATCAAGTCACAGCAGGAAACGTGGAAAACTGGGAACATCCAGAAGCTCCCATTCCAATCGACCTTGGTGACATGGATTTTGATGTCAGCGACATGTTTTGGCTCAATGGCTCTACTGCCGACATTCTTTTTCAATGAGCAATGATGACACTAGGTGCTGTAATCTAGAAGGAGATAATCTGTCGTGGCATGTCTCCATCGGACCACAGTTTAACGTCCATCATGAGGAAATCAAGAGGAAGACTCCCTATAAGTGCAAGGAAGCTACCCTTTGTGGCAAACCAAAGACCTACATCGCGGCAGGTTGCAGGCATCGCATAAAGGAATGAGGAGTAGGTTATATCATCTAGGAGTATGAGTATAAGAGCTGCCAAAGAAAAGGATTTTCAACCAGCTTCAGTACATCAAATTACTGTCTCCCGGCTGGTAGACTAGCGACTGCCATTGTTAAGTAATATGTCGTTCATCTTGTCGATTATTGAACGGTCAAACGCACTTGAAGTGTTAGCTACTCGGGAAGAAACCTGAACTGGTGTTCCCTTGAAGAAAATCGAAACTTTTCCCCCAAGTCAAACATGTAAGCGGCCATCTCAAATCCTTGGATATTAAGAGGCTAACAACCTCTCTAGGGTAGTACGCACAATAGCCCCGTGGTCAGATTGCCCTATATGTAAATAGACTCTATATCGTTCTTGGGCCATTACCATATGTTTTTGCCTATATCACTACTAGAAGATTATTGGGTGAGCTGAGAGCAATTTCCAATAATGTAGGACTCCAGTCCACTGCCTCCATGGGGAGATGCATGGAACGGAGGTGAGAGCTATTAATATGGACTTTAGAAATTTGATCGAAAGGCAGAAAGAGATCGCCTCTTGTATTGCTATAATATTTTATAGTAAAGTAATGATGTATAGTGGCCTTTTGTGTAGGACTTGACGGGAATGGCTATTTCTTGTATCTGTGACTTGTTTCTTCGAAACGTCCATGTCGTTGATTGAAGCTTCACCACGCTCATGCTGAATTTACCATGGGCAGCTTCAAAGCATTCTCGCACGCAAAATATGTGAATACTCGCGAAAGTGAACAACGTTGTTGCAAGACTAATGTGTTAGATACTATAGAAAATGAATGCGAATTGCGCATCGCCTCCACACTCTGCAACGGGTAAGAAATCTTCAAAGCGCTTCGTTGTGGAGAGGTCGCAGAATCTCGAACGTTGGGTGGCATGCAACCGGCGCGTCTCCAAGACATCCTTCAGCGCTAGGTTGTATGCAGATGATCGTTCCGATTGGTGCCTCGCCAGGCTCAAGATATCATTCATCCGTCTTCTTAATTGATGTAGGCTCTTGGTCGGGCATAGAGGAGTTGAGTGGTGACATGGGAGAGTGACTTCGATGTTATGCTAAGCCGAAGCCGCGCCTGGAGAACCTTTTCTTAATGATGAAAATTTATGAAGAAAATATGAAAACGTTTTATGTATTTAAGCCAGGGTGGACTTGGCATGGCGGCACGTTGGAAGGATTGTTTCAGATGTAAAATTTGTCTTAACTAATCTCGGCGTGCGTTACTTCTGGCAACAGATGTGCATATGCTTTAAATAGAATCGAGGGATCTCTTACCCAAACTCAGCCTCGCGGTCTTTCATCAGCACAAGCAAAAGAGAATCAACCTACAGCATCTTGGCTGAGTTATGGTAACGCGCTTGATAAGGAGTCAGCGCACAGCCACGTATCAGGCGGTTTGACCTGACGCAGGGGAGAGCTGTTGATCGACCTGCGCCCACATATTCGCTGCAGGTAGGTGAAACGAGCCAGCGACTGGCTCGTATTGACGTTTTCGTGTCACGTCCTTTGCTCTGCCCTTTTCTTCTGCCTCCCTCGCTTCACCCTCCGCGTCAGCTCTGTCTCCCAAGTCATCTTTGCACCATGAATTGGAAGGGGCTGCTGGCGACGGCCTCATTGGCAGCCATTCTCCCATTCTCAGGGGCGCAGCAGAGCACGAACCCATGTCGGCAGGTCGCGAAGCAGCAGGTCGAGGCCCGCGCTGGTGTCAAGCTGGACTACACCAGCGACCAGAAGTTTCTGGTGAGGTTCGACGGCGAGACGGCATACAAATGCATCACTTCCGTGCCGATCGACAATGATGCCGCCTCTACGATGATTGATGTCCTCAAGAGGTATTTCTCTTTCCAGACCTCAATCGCTTATCTCAAGGATCCGCCCAAGTCATACCAGCAGCGACCAGTGGATGTCATGGGCCGGTTCGATGATATCAAGACCAAGATCAGCAACAAGAATTACACCAATCAGTACGAGCTCGAGTTGGATATCCGCAGCATTATCCGCGATGCCCATGATGGTCATTTTACCTACAGCGCTGGAATCCTCGGCCTGTTTACCTGGTCGCTCAACGAGTCAATCATTTCGGTCTCACCCGACGGCCGAGAACTTCCACAGGTTTTCGCCTACTCTGACATTATCAATGGCATACAAAACGCATCGCCAATTGTCGAATTCAATGACAAGTCCGTCTTTACGTACCTTCAAACGTACCTTGAAGAGCGGAGCGATCCTACAACCGTCGTTGATCCTCACGCCGCCTGGAACCGATTAATGCAGAGCTCTGCCAGTGTCCTTGGGAAAACAGGCCACAAGCCGTCGGCTTCTATGGCATTCAATCACTTTCAGGCCACTCAGGTTTATAATGGTCCGTCACTCCGTGGGAAGTTCGCCAACGGGACCACTTTCGAGTGGGCATACATGGCCGGTTCCAGCACCAATTTGACTAAAGCAAAATTCTTCGACGCGGAGGCTATCTATCAGGGACGGGTGCTCAACTCGGAGTATGACGATGACGAGTTTGTGGTCAAGGCCATTGATGAGAGTTCGAAACCGGCTCAGGCCGCCGAGGTCACCCTGTCAGCATCAGCTACAACATCCAACAAGACCTACGTCGGCTACCCTACCAATCCCATCGTCACACAGGTCCAGTTTGGACTCGGTGGTGTCGTCTCTGGTTATGTTTTGACGAATGACTCGGTTGGTGTCCTCAGTTTACCAGGCTTTCGTAAAGCAGACGGTGCCAGCCTCGCTTCTTACAGAACAGCGGTATCTGATTTCATCACAAAGGCCAAGAAGGCCGGCGTGAAGAAGGTCGTGATCGATCTGTCCGGCAATGGAGGAGGACAGCTGCCCCTTGCCTTTGACATCTTCAACATGTTCTTCCCCTCGACGAGGCCATCCCACTTATTCAGAGCTCGCGCCGTGCCCGAACTGCTTACCTACGGACGTTTCGTGACGGGGATCACTACGAACAAGAATAAGCTGTTCAACTCGAGCACTGTGTCTGTAGTCACGGATGAGTACACCAACAACAGAGTATTTAACGCTGATTATTTCCGCAAACCTGGCAATGCCCAGTGGGCTTCCTTCGATGAGTTCTATGGTCCTGTAACGATTCATAACGACTCTTTCACAAAGAATGGGCAATACGAGTACGACGCTGATGGCTTCAATATTGCCAGACGCGACGACACATCACCGCCATTCAAGGCTGAAGATATCGTCCTGCTCACCGATGGTGTTTGCGCCTCCAGTAAGTCTACACAATACTTTTTTATCATTTCATGATCGATTGCTGACATGGCGAAATAGCATGCTTTGTCTTCGCTAGCTTGATGAAGACCGGTGCCGGTGTGAAGAGCGTTGTCGTCGGCGGGATCCCGCAAAACAGCCCGATGCAGGCCACATCAGGCACCCGTGGCAGCAACGTGCGAGACCTCTCCTTCATCAGTGATTCGACTGAAATGGTGCGCAATTTCGCCCACGGCTTTACCGACAAGCAGATGAAGGGCCTCAACATCACGAGTCAGGATCTCTCCAACCTACTCCCGCCTCTGGATAAGGCGCCCTTTGTCGTCGGCAGCAGTGCTGGGGTTAATATCCTTGATACTGTCTTTCCTAGTAGTCCCGAGACACCCCGCCAGTTTGTCTATGAGGCCGCCAACTGCCGTCTATTCTGGACTCGTGATATGGTCCGCGATATCACACGACTATGGAGTGCTGCCGCCAAGTATGCCAGTGGTGATGAGTCGGTCTGCGTCTCGGGGTCAATCGATGGGCCCGGGTCTCGGGTTAATGATACAATCACCGACAGTCCGGGCTTTTCGTATTCTACAATATGGGAGAATGCGAATCAGACAAATATCAGCAAGACGGATAACTCTCCAAACAGTACCAGTGGTGGGGGGGATCAGAATCAGAAGGACGATAATTCAGCAGGGCATCTCCTTCAGCTCACTCCAATAAGCCTCATTGTCCTGACACTCACCATTTTACTGGTTATCTAAGACGCGCAAAGTACCTTCTAATTCAAATTTCAAAAAGTCGCCGACTGGTTTTGCGTTACTTTTGAGACCCAACCCCAATTTCCCTCATAATAAAAAAAGAATGCCACCATTTTGGACACCTGGCCAAGTGACAGTTCTTTCAACGTCAAAGTCATATAGATAGATCTACTACACCACCTCCGTTGTGTTTAAGCAATGCATATAGAAAATAGAACCTAGTAACAAATCTAGTAATATTGTTTCGTCATCTCTCATTAAGCTCAATAACCGAGTGTTCAGCAACTCATCTGTACACATATAGACTGGTGATGCGAATACGATTCTCTTTTCTTTTGATACTACTTCCGTGCTTTTAATTATTTTCGCCTACATGCCAATAGCATGGACCTGATGCATTTTATCACTCCGATACTTAGAACTAACCTCATTTAACAATACACGACTTGTCGATGGAAACCTGCCGGTCCATCCCCCTCCATAGCTCCCAACTGAATGGCCTGCAGATACGCATTCGGCCCATCCTCGTGGGACATTAATTCTCCTTGTTTCTGACTCTCCGTAATCAAATCCCTGCCACGAACAAACATGGCCTCCTCGTACTTTCGGACAGCTTGGAACAGACCCTCAACCTCATATGAAGCGATCTTGGACACAAGGGTGATAGCATCCACCATAGCGCAGTTTACCCCTTCATTCATATACGGGGTCGAAGCATGGGCAGCATCTCCTGCTAGTGTGAGACCCGGAACAGAGTCCCAGCCCAAGGCATCGGGTGGGAAATAATACAGCGGTCGGATGTGAAATTTCTCGCATTTTTCGATCACGTTTTTCAGCTTCATATCCCATCCCCCGAAAAATTCCTGGGAGAGAAGTAGACGGCGTATATTCGATAGCTCTGTTAGGTCGGGTGATACCAAGAGAAAATCTTCTGGAACAGAAATACCAAGGTATAGTCGAAAAGATCCGTCCCCTAGCCGCTGGATTATCACTTGCTTTGCTCCGTCCAGAATTGCAGTATCGTTGGTGCCGAATTCGGTCATGATATACTGATACATGGCATCGTTGGGACCTACTCTCGATTCGATAAAGTATCTACCCGAATATCGAGGTTTGCATGAAATTATCTGCCGTTGTCAGCCCTCATGAACTAGTGGGAACGTCTTTCTCTTGAGGAGTGTAAAGCCTTACCGATTCACGCACCCTGCTCCAAATACCATCGGCGCCAACGACAAGATCAAACCCAGCTCCTGTTGATCCATCTGCGAATTTCAAAATCGGTTTACCCTTGGCACCCAATTCCACGGAACTGACTCGGTGACCCCAATGTATCTTTTCTTTCGGTAATGATTGTAAAAGCATCCGTTTCAGTACCAGTTGGTCAATCTGAGGTGGCCCTTGACCTAAATGCTCGTCGTCGCCACCGACTTCAGCCCACTTCTTCCCATGTCTATCGTAGATCGCCAGCTTGTCGTCTCCCAACTTTGCAAATTTGAGGAACTCATCTAGCAAGTTGGCCTCTCGCAGCGCTCGCTGCCCGGTGTCCTTGTATATGTCGACAGAGCCACCCCCACACTGAAGATGCTTATCCTCTTCGCCCTTTTCGAAAAGAGCGAATTCGATTCCTCTGCATTCCAACAGTCGGGAAATTGTGAGGCCGCAAAGACCTGCGCCGACGATTGCGATCCTAGGACTCATTCTGTGCTGTTGTCGAGGTTGAAATTTGGATCCTGCAGCATCGTTGAAGTTGCACTGAATATGGGGTTGAGTGAGGGGTCGGGTAGAGTAACTGTATCAACGTTGAACCATTTATCAGTCCGGGGAATATGTAATTCTGACCTCAACTAGCAATTTTAGTTCACGTATTTGCCGAATTCGCCACAGCCATGATGGGTGCCAGACATTCAACTTGTCGATCTTCCGCTCGATGGTCAGATCGGAAGCCCGCCCCTACTCGTTAGCCAAACTCTCCTCCAGTAGCTGTAGTATCCCTTCAAATGGCCGGTCAATCAGTGCAAGGAAATAGAGGTACTTCATAGTAGTGAAGCTTTCCTTTTAGGAATCTAGACTGTTAGCTCCCTTTGACGATTTAGCCATACCAAGGCGGTTATTCCATCGCCAAACCTAATATAGCTTCGGGCCAAAATTCCAGACAAGCTTGCCGTCATTGATCATTTAGCGTTTTCCTGACAATACCGAAATTTTTTGACCAAGTAGAAATATCGATGACGTATTTGTAACTCTTCTCCAGCTCACGGAGATGTCTGGAACGTGGTATCGTTCCATAACATGCATAAAGATGTAAGATGGTGCTGATGGCGTCAAAGCTTTTTAAACCATTGAACTGCTGGAGTTCTTTCTTTTCGAGATCCAGAGCCAGGATAAGCGTCGGTTTGTGAACTTGTTCATAGGTGGTTTCAAATTTTCAACGATTACAATATTTCAATGAACTAACTGCCATTTCGCCCATGGCGAAGGCCTGGCTCGGTTTGCAATGCGCGCTTTTACGCTGTACCTTGATTGATCTCACTAGATAGAATTGGGCATGAGAAGCAAAGTGTGATAACTGTAGCCACTTGAATCGGGTGGTAGTGAGGTATGATTATCTCGCCAGCCCAGATCTAGAGCACTTATATAAGTTGAGTTATCCGGGCCCTGGCAGCTTTATTAATATTAAACTTTATCCTCTTTTCTTCTATATATAATAAAATAAAATAATAAAGAATAAAAAAAATTATTATTACAAAACTTATAGTTTATATAGAGCTTAACTATTATATTAATCAGTTAACCTATTATAAGAACTATAGCTTCAGAGTACTATTTGGCCAGTACTATTTTCATCTTTTTCAGCCCTATAATAGTCCCGCTGATTGCCAGGACGGTTAAAGTTTCAGATTTTAATCCACTACTACTTGTCTCTGCAAGTCTGATAGCATCCCGGAAGGCATTGATTACATTGCCCTGATGCCCAAGGACAACACCCGAGTTCGTAATAAGACCGCGGCAGTGGACTCCGATGGAGTAAAAGGTCTTGTCAGGCAACACTGTGAGAATAGGGCTCCCCGAATTGCCTGCAAATATTAGCACGGGAATTCGGGTATCTCAACGAGTGGGCAGCAGACCTTTGTTTGTGTCGAGCCCATATCTCAGGGTATAGTTGTCAGCGACGAGGTCATACCAGGAAACCGGACACTCGCTCTGATACATAACTTTTCCTTTCACTTCCTCTTTGCTGTCATGTGGTAAGTCGCCGGGATACCCCACCACCTTCAATATTGTCTTCCCACTCGAGAGTGGAGTGTCTCTCCAAGCGATGACCTGTACATCTTGAAATGGCGCTATGAGCTCCATAATGGCAAAATCGTTCCATTTCTGAGAGTGTTTATAATAGCCCCAGTGGACGGCGACTATTCGCGCGTACACTTTTTCCTGCTTCGTGTCCACAGTAGCCTCATTGTCCTTTCTGCCGATGAACACTGCTACTTTGGTGGCATGCTTGCCGCTCTCCCTGTCATAGAGATTATGGGCACATGTAACGACAGTTGATGGTCCTATCAGCCACCCGGTGCCGCCAAATTCATATTTGGAGTTCTGATAACTCATTATCAATTTGCAAATGCCTGTGCGAGTGTTAGTCAAACTTTTCCAATAATATATATATAGTATTCACCTCTCAATTGCCCTTGAGGAGAGAGGTCTTGAGCTGGGACTTCTGTTCTCGGATATTTATTCAGAAGCACCTCCAGAATCGATCCGTCCCTCTCTGAAGCAAGACTGGGATTCTCTGATAAGAGCTCGGAGTCCGAGTCGTTGTATATCTTATCATTTAGATTCGGAGTAACATCTAGTGGCCAAGAGGCTATAACAGCCTTTTTACTAAAGTCTTTCAAGACTGGTTTGCGGAATTTCGCGAAAATCTTTTTTAGATGTTCGATAGAGCCTTGGATATCTGATATAAGCTCTTGGGTGTCGCTGTCTTCCATATTCCATTGAGCAATTATCAGAGGAGAAGGCCGGTACGTGGTTCGTATTCCCGATTTCTCCTGAAGGTCAATCGACATGGAATCCCTTAGAGCTTCTAAGAGCGTCTCGTGCTCGTCCCAACCGGCATTCTAGATAACTAAAGTAAGTAGCGAAAATACCGGTCGGGGAAAGTAATCTGACTACTAACTCTATGTATCTGAAGCCCCGCTATCTCCTTTAATTGTCTTGCAAATTGTTCAAGAGCCTGTTCGAACCTAGTGGTATTACTGTTCTTCGGAAGCTTTATAGCATTTGCGAGACGTGCTGACTTGGTTATAATAGACCGCACCTGACCTTTCAGCGTAGTGTAGTCCTTGCTACCCAGGAGGTTTTCGAGGTCATTTTGCTTGGTGGTTTCAAATGTAAATTCGCGTGCCGTGTTAGTATTACTTGTGTGGGATTGGAGCTGGGTGAGGAGTAGTTGGAGCTGTGCCTGGTAGTCCTTGAACAAGATGTGCAGAATCGTGACTGGCTCAGGTAGTCCTGCGGGGAATGATTTGATTTCGGCATTATTATACTTGTTTGGATTGGTCGGATCCTTCTGCTGTTTTCGTTGCATGAATTGGTGTAATAACACCTCCGAGCCTGAGAATGGGGCTCCAAATGCCATTTTGGATTGTATAACTATAGGGGTAGATTATTTTTGCAGTTCTTCCCTTGGATACAATGTATATTTCAGCTTGAGTGAAGATGGATGGACCTAGCGGGGCTTTTATACACAGGTTGCCAGCTCGTGGGCGCCTCCTATCCTATCCTATCCTGCTACGGTGCTACAAAAAGCAAGTAATCGTATACTGACATTATTTCTGCACTTGAAAGTGTCAGCTGGTAGGCGCCTCCTGGCCTAAGTCGGCCTGTTGCAGAGCAGCCTATGCCTGTCAGCGCTAGGGAATCGTTGTCAGGGACTGACGATATTATTGAGCTCTCTACAATTATTACTTCACTTAAGCATTACCACTCTCATGATACCAGTGTATAATAACGGACAGTGCCTTTCGCTCATTTGGTATATAGATAGAAAGTGTTGATTCGGTTTCAGCTTAGAATTGGGTTTCTAACTAGCAATATTATCTGCAGGCATAGGCTGTTTAGCGGCACAAAGGCTTGGACAACCACTCGCCTGCATGGAACAAGCATTCAGATTCCGTTAGGAACCCCACTGCAGTCCTTTCCTGGCACAGCGCAGGTAGTATAACGAGTATGGTAGTGCCTGCAGAGCAATATTAATATATAGCGGGCTTAGCTGTTATTAGAGCTGGATATACAGGAGGAAATCAGTCTACTGTGAAGAGTACTACCTTAAAGCTTACTATTAGGCCGGAATAGATCTATTAAAATTAACTATTAATTTATATTTAGAAGGGAATATACTAGTAATAAGCTTAGTCCTATTATAAGTACTTCTCTAATTATTAATAGTAACTATAAGTATTAAAATATATATATAGATATATAAAGTATTCTATAATAGCTTATATATTAATCCAGATTATTCTTATATTATCTACCTATCTTTTAAAGTATTAACTTAGTTATACCTACTATTTCTTCTATACCTTTAACTAGTACTATATAGCTTATTATTATAATATATTAATCTAGTATAGTTCTACTTATTATAAAAATAGGAATAAGCTTATCTATTATTATTACTTAGAGATATTATATTATAAGCTTCTAGGATTATAAGATATATAGTAGTAAAGTTCGCTATAAGATAATTATATTAAAAGGTAAAGCTCCCCTGAGAGTTTACTAATTACTTATAGTTAGAATTACCTTTCTTATATTAACCCTATAAAGTAGTATATATTATCTATAATTAGATATATATTATTAGTTCGTCTAGTATTATTATTACTATCGGCGCAGTATTACGCAATATCCTTTATGATACTGCGTACCTAATTATATCTAAACATCCTCAGCAATGCCCATGTGCTCCATGACTCTCCAGACACTCCACAGACAGCAGTGAAAAGATCCGTAACCAGCATCTCTATCGAACACGGTCCCGTTGGAGAACACCAACAGTTTATTTTGAGCAGCGAAGAAGCGCATCTGCTTGCTCAACGCACCGTCCTACCTGGTTCTCTACCAGTCTTCAAACTTATGGCCCTATACAATCTTTCTCCCCTCTCGTACAAGGGGCTGCGTTATCTGCCATTTCCTATGAAATTGTTCGAGCTCTAGGATCAGTGGCTCCCACACGATATCGCTATTTATCCCCATCAGCTTGATGAGATCCGCCTCCAGACCTTTCCGATCCCGGCGGTTTGCTGCGTCGATCTCAGTTTGGAGAAAGTACCCTATCATCGACTTGTCCTGTTTGTTCTGTGGCCTGAGCACAGGTGGAACATCGCCAGCAGCAGGTCTGTCGGCGGAAGACGAGGCAGCATCTTTGGCCGCCTTGCGCTCAGCGTAAACCTGAAACGTCGGCTCATCTTCAACGTCTTGGTCACCCAGGACGTGGAGAAGATGTCGAGAATAGGCAGCGGCAGCGGCAGCGGCATATCCGCGCCACTTGGTACTGTTATGCGTATCTGCGTAGTCGGTAATGCCACGGATCAAGAGGTACGGAAATGTGCTCATCAGCCCTGCTGCCCCCGTTTCAAAGCAGAGAACGTTGTTTTCTGCGGCGAACTGATCCCTGAGCTGGGGATCTCTGATCGACTTGTATGGTGACGCGATGGAGCCGTGGTGGACGGCTGGGCATTCTTCATAGTCGCCCACAGGTGGCCGGTACTCGACATGGGCTGCGTCATTGCCGCAGGATTGGTTGCAATACTAGTTCGCAAGTCGCAAGTGAGTGAAGAAAGCCTTGTATAGCCTGTCAAACTCGTCGCCAGGCCGCTGGTATGTGCTTCGCTCCTTTAGACTTGGGGAGTTGTCTAGTGTACGCGAGATGGCTCTCCCAAGGCGGTTGGATTCAATCACATATCGGGACGACAACTCTCGTACCGCAGCTCTTACGCATCCCGGACTGTAGACGGTGCTCTCTGTGCCTTAAAATACTATCTTGCTGACAGCAGTATTATAGTTAAATTGGAAGGCAATATTAAGGCTGATTACTATATCGCCCAGTCATATATAGTGATCGTTACTGTTCATACTGCTGCTAGTACTGATAAATAGGGCGATACGGATTTAATCGAAAGTTCATATTATATTACTTATAACCTCTGCTGCTACTAATATAGGAATATTCTTCTCCCCTTCTAGTAGCTCTATTAAGACTATATTATACCTACCTATCTTACCCAGAGTATACTAATTAGAGTCTCCGGCGGCTTTCTTAATAATATACTGGTAGTATTCATCAAATAATACCTTTAAGGCAAATGTCTGGTCTGAGTTTAAGGTAATCCAAGCGACTATGAACGTGTTGTCTTCCGGCGGTATTATGGCAGACGGCCAGGTCCTGGTCTTTGAATTCAAGGACGATACTAGGCCATCCTTAGATGGGCAGGGTACCGGGAGGGAAGGTCTCAAAGCACAGGTAAATGGCAAGGACCTAGAGCTGCAGGGAGGGGGAGGGTGGGCGCTCTCTAAAGTTGCAGGAATTTGGAAGCCATTCGCCGGACGTTTAGAAAGTCGAAATTTCGATTGTTCATACGACATTCCATGATCTTGTCATCAAAGTGTGCGCCGACATCCTTGAGTGCAGGGTACCAAATACATCAGGTCTAATAGATTTTCAGTTGTCGTGGGTAAAGAGGGGGAAAGTCGAATTATACACAAGGGGCCACGCCCATTGGAGGGAACGATTTGCCTCCCCTCCCAGGATACCGAATTTCACATTTGCGAATTATCGGGAAACGACTGCTCTAGTGATGCAAGCACAATGTAGTATATGTGGTCGATAAAAGTAGGATGAGCTACGTGGTTACCGTTCAATAAATAGTTTCTCCTTTCACCTACTACTCATATAATATGTAGAGATATATCCTTCACCGCGTTATCGAATCGTCATCAACAGGCAGCACGAAAAGATCATTCCTAAGATCAGTCAAGCGTCATCATGCCATTGATTTGAACGGTTTGAGCAATTGGCCGTTGACTTTCATCCCTTCGACTTCTGCATTGGAATCTATTGTCTGAGACATCCGTGCTAGCCATGCGTCACAAGATAATCTCAATCAAGAACTACACATTTTCCACGTTTCCAAGAAGAAGCCACATGACGAGTTAGAGTCTCGTAAAACCACATCCCAATGCTATCATGGACGTTGGCGCTAAATACTCTTTAGTACGCGGGAATCGTAGTGACTCTATATACGAATATATTTATATCGTTGAATAGCAGAGATATTGGTAGTGTCGGAATTATACAACAAAGACCACATGACACCTCATGCTCATTCTTTATAAACCCCTCTATAGCCTCAGCTGACACTCCTGGCTGTCTTAATAGTCCTTGGCACCGATCCTTGACTTTGAACATGATCTAAAATCCTGTGAGGACTTTTTTATATGCGATAGTCGCGCTGTCTCACTTGGGAATGTTGTATCAACGACAATAATGGATGTCACCCCTTCAGAAGTACCCAGCCAAGTCAATCACCGATTCTGGCCTTTTATGCGCAGAGTCACATCTTTCTTAAAGCATAAAGCTCGTCGCCTCTTCAATCTGTCTCGTAGATGTCACATTCTCCTTCCCGCCGTTAGCTACTTAACCTCCAGGCTATATATCAAATTTCTCAATTCAAGTTACTTGTTATCTACTGCGTTGATCGGAGGGATTTGCTCTTGTTCTTCCCCAAGATGCTTCTCTCAAATATTATCCCAGCTGCACTCATGAGTATTAGCTGCGCAATGGGAAGCCCGCTGGGGACTAACGACGATTCCCCCGAATCCTTCGAACTCTTCAAGCCCTCTAAAATAGGGTTATACAACACTGGCACTGGCTCTATCGCTCCTGCTCCGGCTGGTGTAGTGTCCAAATTCCCCGGCGATAGGGGTCAAGATACCACCACGCTCCTGACATTTACGTATCCACCTGAGGCGTCCGGAAAGAAATGCTTCCTTGCGTTCTATCTTGATTCCACAGCTTCAGTGAGCGGGAGCGGTAAAATCGACGTCTTCTCGAGCCTTGGTCCTGCTCCAGATTACGCCCCAGGGTGGCCGCCTGGCAATCAGCGCGATAACCATATTGGGCGTCTCACAGCTTGCAAGGGTGATTTTGCCCGTTGGGACGCCACATATGGCAGCTATCTAACGGAGGAAACCGATTGTAAGGAACCTGGTACAGTCGAGGCCTATGAACTTGTTGGGGTGTATGACGATGATTTTGTTTCATGGGATCCATCAGTGGCAGGGTTGGAAATTTACTATAATTAGTTTGAGCTGTTCTATGTCCCTATCAACTAATTCAATCTGTTCTGGCATATATATCTAGAGCCTCCATGCCCTGCTCTTCATTACAATCAATATCGACGGTACTGAACGACTACCCATCGCGATGACAAAAGATACTGAGAAATGGCATACAAACTAGCCTCAGGCATGAAACTCAGCCTGGTGATTATAGACAAGACCCCAAGTCTTTCCTGAAAGCTGAAAAAGAGAGACCTAATTCTTCCGCTTCATATTACCTAAGTACCAATTGCTCCTTCCAGAAGATCGAGAAATCCATACTGATTGTCAACCCCAACCCCGCGAGAGTGATATATGCGAACTTGCTTCCCTGTGCGATTGAGACTCTTGAACTTTTCCGTGATAAAATCCAAGGCGGCTTGGTCATTTACGCCCTTGTACTGGCCATACACCTCGGAGAGAGGGCGTGTTTCCAGCTTCTTCCAAAAGGCGGACAAGTTCGACAATACCAGCACAACTGGTGTGTTTCTCAACCAGTTGGAGTTGATTATGGAGTCAAACAAGAGTAAAGACTCATCAAGAGGCCTACATTCGTCCTCGAGAGTAACGTCGTATCGTGATGGATCCGCAACAAAAACCAATGCGGCAAGGTCCTCAAAGACATGCACCCATCTCTTCCTTTCGGCACGGTTGTAAAGGTCGATGAAGTTCAGGATCTTGTCGCCTTCTTCGATTTGTATTTCTCGGACGAATACTCCGTGGTAAGGCTTCTCGAAGTGAAACCAGTCATGCTCGGTGGCGCGATAACCGGGCAAAAACACACGCTCCAGGACTTCCATGATATCGTGATCATCCGTGCATGTGCAGGCCAGAAATGAAGGGCATTTTTCATCAAGAACCAGGTGTTGCACAGCTGGAAAACTAATTCGGTGGGCGTCGAGCTGGTCGTTGAACTTGGATCCCTGAGCAATCTGGAGGACCAACTCTGCTGCTGCTGCTTCATCATACTCCAGAAAATAGTCAATCTCGTGAAGTAGCTCCCTGGTTGAAGCTATGACCTCCTGATTTAGCTGGATATTTCGGATTTCGCTCCCCTCCAGTTCGTCAAGGGCCGTTTTTAGACACCGAATTGCCACATCCAGCACTGTCTTCTTGACGTCCGCGCAGAGAGGACCCTGCTCATCCAGCCGTAGCGGGTGCACCCTCAATCGCATCTGCTTCCACAGTATGCGTTTCTGCTCACACGAGCCAATTGCTATGACGTTGAGGCGGCGTTTGCGCTCCTCCCGCTCAGTATCCAAGTACTTGTCAATGGCGAGAGACCGCCGCTGGCTCTCCACCTCATCATCGCTGTCATCGACGCCCGAGCACAGCACGTTCTCCGGGAGCGCCCGAGAAAACAAGCCTCCGTAGATCGAGGATAGACTGGTGTTTCGCGAGTGCTTAGCGCCCCTGATCAGTCCACTTTCGTCTGAGGTAAGCCTGGGAGACAAAGCGCCGCGCGCCTGAGCTTTGCGATATCGCATATCGTCTGCTGGACGCCGGGGTATTGGGGCTGGTGTTGCGGTTGTTCTTGGTTATATCACACGGGTGGCTCAGCCAGCCCCTGGATCTTGTGTTGGCGAAGGATGAAAAGATGGCCAGGTGTCAGATCCTTCACCGATACAAGCCTGGGTGGGTTTCACGTGTGCCTTGAGGCTGAACCTGAACCGGGGTCTGAGATGCGATTACCCTGCATCCAGTTTCCCACCCCATATTGTCGCCAAGAAAATCCCCCAGACATTTGACTTCTTCTTAAGCGGGGTAGCTGGAGAGCAGTGTGCTTATTTCAATCGTCTTAGCGAGTTGGTTGCACATCTATAGGCCTCTCCGTTGATGAGTCGTTAATCCCGGGGTCTCACGTGCCGTAAGATCCAGGGGCAGGTTTATCCGACTCGAGATCTAAATTGAGATCATCTCAGCTGGCTCAGAGAAATGAGAACCAATATTTCAATAATCTTTCCATAAATCCAGTGTTGTTACGCAATTGAAAACGAAAGCAATTTTCCGAGTCTCAATGAAAACGACTCTTCAATCCATCTACCCAGTGTATGGCTAGTACGTTACTCGTGGTCATATAGAAGCATTTTGCAAAATCTTTAAAAGATGGGTTAGTTTATACCTCCTAAGAAAATCATTATCTAAGTGATTTACCTATTAGGGTTGAGGACAATCAAACATGTTACTTGGTTTAGAGATATGACTTTTATCAAGAAAATTAAGCTTAAATAAGTAGGGAGAATAGCGCCTTTTCATCGTCAAGAACATACTCCTTCTAGCCTCCGAAACTCCTTAATTAGATGGGCCTATATTATGTGATAAACGTAGGATGCCCGAAAGTGTACCCGAGGAGATACCCGGCGTATATAGTAATCCCCGATGCAAATATAAAACAACGGGGACGTACCATAATACGAAGTGGCTGAGGGACGATAAATTACGCCCAAACCAATCAGGCTCTGCCGGGTTGATCGGAGTAAACCAGGCGTAGCCCGGGTCATCCTACCGTAATCGAGTTTTGGGCGCCAGGAAGAGAAGTGTGCCTAAACTTCAAGAGAGCGCGGTATCAAGCGCCCTCGCTCACTCAGCAAGCCTCAGCATGGAACAATGCGTGAGAAAGAAATTTCAACCTCCTCATCCTTCATAGTAAGCCTCAACCCGTAGATCAGCTGCTATTTACCATCGCCATGGGAAATCCTGCTACAGACGATTATCAGCCCCCTTCCTACGAGCAAGCCACTCAAGGAAAGTCTGACCCATCGCAACAAACTATCTCACATAATAATGACACCTTTTCTTCTGAGTTTACTTCCGTCACTCTGAACCAACACGATCGGATCCGCCTCATCAATTTCCCAGCGGACACCGTGGCGAGCTTTCAGTGTTTCCTCAAGACAGCGTGGCCCAAAGGAATACAGGAGGTGCGCGACTATGGCCAATCACGTGAATTTAAACTGAATGGCTATCCTTGGTACCGAGGCGTTGACAGCTCGCTGGGCCCTGATGATACTTCGCGTCTTGTCAAGAAATTGCTGGAGGCGTTGTACAACATGGGATGGGTGTTGCATTCTGCAGTAAATCTTCGAAAACATGGAAACAAAGGTTGTGTTCTCCCATCGTTCAGCTTTATCCCATCTCTCTCTAATACCTTTGTCAGCAGATGTCCTTGCCTTCCGCCGCCAAAACCCACCACCACCGAAGTGTGAATGGATTCACATCTCATTTGATAGTCACGATAGACTAATTTTCTTGGAACCACCCTCCCAAGAAATCAGGGTTGCTTTGCTGAAGACATTCGGCCGCGCCGTGAGCAGCAATGAGCTCACAAAGGACCATTTTGAAATAAAGTTTCAGGGCTATCCATGGTCACCCACTGGCGAGGATACTGTGAATACGCCTTTAAAGTTACTGCAGCTTCTAGAGACGATGGAGAGATTCGGCTTTTCGTTGTACTCGAGTTTGATGACAAAGAATAATCACGAAGGGACAGATGTAGATGACTTAATTATGAAGCGGCAGATAACTAAACACTAGGAATTCTAGAATTCCAGTATTCCATAGATGATATAATACAACTTGTTGTGAGACACGGTTAGTTCCTATATGGCTGCTTGCCCTTCTTCGTCGGTCATTGCCTCAGCATGTTCCATCATGCGGGATATTATCTCTGTGATATCCTTCCAAATACGTTTGCGATTCTGCAACCCTTTGAGGTCCTTCCAATTCTTGACAATTTCGAGATACAGTTTATACCAGTTTGTCTTATCGTATGGTAGAGACACGGGCTGCAACGCCTTGTTTTCCTCCATACACGACGCCATTCCCATCTTGTACTCTTCCGTGTCGTGCCAAGGTTTCGCCGCAGGGGAATTCTTCATCCACGTTTCTAAATCATCTGTTTCGCTGGTTTGTAGCGTTTCGATTGTCTTTTCCCGTATCTTCTCGTATTCCTCACCACGTTTTGTCAGCGCTTGAAACCGGCCAGAATCAATGAGTGCCCATTTGTATGGATGGACATCGTCACTCCATGCTTCATAGATAAAAGGGAGCTCCTCCACTAGAAGCCGATACCATACTGAGATAGGTAAATGACGGAATCCTCGCGACGACACGCGCAGAAGCGCAATGTCCTTGGACCCGAGGTAGCCAACAATTGTTTGCAGTATCTCGGAAGGCAACCTCAGGAAAGGATCCTCATTTGAACGCTTAGCCAGATCGTCATGGCCAATAAATGGACTTCCTTGTATGCTGAAGTCTTCAGGAACTGTGCGTGCTGTATCACATACCCGTTTGAACGTGGGAATGAAGATTGGATTGGCAACGAGATACTCGGTACCTCGATTGTATCGCCAATCACCTTCCTGAAATGAATCAACAACGTCGTCGTTACGCCGGCAAAATGGTTCCGCGGTTCTTTCCGTATATTTGCAGTAGTAATCACGGAGGTTCATCAATTCTTTCGTGGCAACGCGGCCGAGGGCTTTGATACTAGCCCTTCTAAACAATTCGAAACAAGCCGGATGGAATGGGAGGCCAACCCAGATAGCCACTTCCTCAGACTGTAAACAGTGTGCGAGTAGTTAGCCAGAAGCATGCCATTGGAAGATGAGCTTGAAAAGGGACATACCCTGAGTGTATAGTCACAATCATTTGCTGCCGTCACCCACTCGCTGGATCCATGACGCACGGGAGAGAAACGGTTGCTCCAAATTGGGTCCAGCCCTCGTGCCAGGCCAGTGAGGCAGCAAGGCGAATATTGCTCAAAATCTTGGTCATCGTCAAGAGGCTCCCAGCCGTCGGTCTTGCGCACAAGACACTGCACAGTTGAACACTCTCTCATCTCACCAACTGATATGTGATTGCCGTTGTAACCATCCAAGTACTCGCAATTGGGGCCGGCAATATGCTCGTAGTCATATCGAAGGTCATTCAGAGCCTTGAGTCCGATTTCCCCGTCGTCCAAGTCTTCAATGATAGAGATTGGCTTAAAGTAGATGTCCAGATCCTCAGTAATTGGCCCCATTGGAGAACCCAGTGCATACACGTTGGTTTCTGAGCTCTTGAATCTCTTGCTGCTGTCTTCACTCAATTCAGGGCCATAATCAGGGTCGTACTCTGAGGTATCACTGCTCGGTTCACCTGTGAGGCCAGAACGCAGTTTAGCCTTTGTCGGGCTATCGATGGCATGAAGTTCTGAATCCGATCTTTCTCCCGCCGGTCTTTGTACTCCAGGTCCGCGATAAAGAACTGAGCAGTCGTCACCACAAGGCTTATGGTCTCTGGCATTGCTTCCAACCCATGTGGTACCGTACTCGGCTGACAGAGATAGCCAAGCTGCTTCCCGTGGCTCTCTGCGAGTTCTTATGCGGCTAATATTGAACAAAACTCCACATAACTGACAGTAAATCTAAGCATGATTCTTGGTCAGTCTTAGATCACAACGCCGACTTGACATAACCTCGGTTCTGAATGCATGTACGTACTTCGTGACCTACACATGATGCACATTCAGTTAGCTTTCCATCAACAGGCCATAATGCATCAGCAGGGACCTACCCATGAGAGCTTCTTTTTATGTCGATGAGAGACAGTCGACCGTCATTCTAGCCTTTTGACACGTTGCTTACTCGGAAGGGGGGGACTCGGCGGTTGAAGAGGAGAAAAACCATCCAACATTCGGTGGGGCGGTCTAATGGCCTCCATTCTACAACAGGACTAAGCTATTGAGCATGCAATATGGCTTAAGGTTATCTAGTAAAAAATAGGCGGTCTGGTTTATTGAAACATAGTCAGATCAAGTGTTCAGTCCATCTAAGTATGAGTTCTGTGTGCAAGTGTTTGTTCAACCACCAACTGGACCAGAAGCCTGCAGGGGCCAAGCCCACGAAATCCGAAATAGAGGCATTGTCCCCGCTAAAGGGCCCCTTTGATGACCCTGGAGATGGGCCAAAGTCCACTTATTACAGCGCCGAAGAGGCCAAGGGGACTTGGCAGTCTCTGCGGGTAAGAACCCGATGGAACAATCAAGCCCCTGAACCAGACACTAAGCGGCCTCATTCACACCACCTTTAGCACGGAGCTCATGGCTGTTTTTCTGGATCTTCAGGGCTGAATATAGGGCCAGAGTTCAACCCTTCAGCGTCACCGCAATGCGGGCTTGATGGTGGTCAACCAAGCGCCCTCAATACGCACCCACCATAGTCAAGTAGAGATCACCGTATATATTATGTCGATGGGGAACTGTTACATGTTATATAGGCCCTTCTAATAAAGGAATTTCAGAGCTTAGAAAAACTATATATTCTTATAAATAAAAAGAAGCTATTTTCTCTATATAAAGAAATTACTATTTACTTATCTGAGGTTATTTTTCTACTTCTAGAAAGCTTTATTTAAGATTCCTAGTTTAATTAATATACTATTCAGGTTAATAGAGGTTATAGATTATAAATTAACTAGGCTTCTATAGAATAACTCTATATAATATTATATTATATAATATACTCTCTAGTTAAAGCTATTTATCTTTTTAACTTTAACTATAGCTTTATATTATTAGGAGGTTTAATTTATAGAGTATCTATTTCTTTATTAAATAGTATTAAATTATTATAATATTATTATCTTATAGGCTTAAATATATTATTTAATTAAATTAACTAATTAAAGTATTAATTAGTATTTAATTTATAGCTATAATAAAGGTAAGAGGTTTTTAACTTTTCTCTTATAATATCTAACTCCCTTTTTATAATACTGCTTTTAATATATAATAGAAGTAAGCTACTATACTCTGATTAGCTAGTATAGTATCTTTATAAAGCTTATAATCTTATAATATCTTTACTTCCTTTTCTTTCCTCTTTAGATCTTTAAATAAAGTATTTTCTATACTATTAGAAACCTCTATATATATTTAATCTTACTATCTTAACCTACTCTTAGCTATTATTAATCTTTGGTTATTCAGTATAGATACTCTGGGCGAACTTACAGCTTATATACTTTTTAAGATAAGTAACCAGGGTTCTACTAGCTAGGATAAGGTTATATATAATAATAGCCCGGATCCTTTTAGATCCTTTCCTGAGTATAAGTATAATAAAAGTATATTACCTCTTAAGGTAGCTGTTAAGTATGAATAAAAGCTGGTCTCCTCTTGCCTAAGCTCTCCTGTAATAGTTGGGTAACTTATACTGGACCTGGTCTAGGGTAAGCTAGGGTTAAACTAATTAGAGTATTATTCTAAGTAGTATAATCAGGTTATTATAGGCTATATAATATAAGTTACTATTAATATATAAGTATTATAGAACTAGTAATAATAGATATATAAATAATATTATTAATAACTATCTGAAAGAGTATTCTAGCTAATAAAATAAATATATATATATACTAGATAGCTTATAAGGGCTTATTAGTAATCCGGAGTAAGTTAAACAGAGGATTATAAGGGATTACTAGTAATCTAGAGTAATCTAGTAATTATTAGTTAAAAAATATAGGTATACTATATAACTTTAGGTATATAGTCCTTATTTATAATATATTACTTTCTTCTTATTAGTTTTATCCTTAAGACTAGTTTTTATAGCCTTCTTTCTAGTATATTACTTCTATATCTTCTAACTTTTATTAGTATATTATACTAATTATATTATAATCCCTTTCTAAGAAGTTATAGTAGTATAAGTTCCTAGTATTTTTAATTAATAAAATAGGTATTAAGATTATATCTTATTCTAACTGCTTTAAATATAAAAAAGTATATTATATAATAAAGAGTTCTTCTTATTATAGAGAGTATATAAAGCTAGGTTATTCTTATAATAGTATTAAAGTAGTATTATAATATATATACCTATTTTTTCTAGTTTTAGGATTTTCCTTATTAATAGTTTTATAGTAAAGTATTTAGTTACTAAAAAGTACTATCTAAAGAGTAAACTAGCTTTCTCTAAAGTTACTCTTTAAAAGGCTCTAGTAAAGGTATTATATCTTTATTACTAGTATTAAGTTATTTATAAGAAGTTCTAAAAATTATTTTATTATAGAATATAGGATTTAGATAAATAGAATAGTATTCTTACTTAAGAGGATCTAATTCTAAAGGAGTAATAAGCTATTAGTATAATATAATCTTTAGATACTATAGATCTTATTAACTAGTCTTCTATCCTACTAGATTTCTCTAATCCTCTTACTTTATTTTCTACTAGTAATATTATTAGATTAGATATTAGTACTTCTTTAGGTATCTAATAGATTCCTATATATTATATTTATAAGTATAATCTTTCTATTTAACTAGATAAAATATTTATCTATTTCTAATTTCTTTCTTTAGGATTTTTTTTAGTTTAAATTCCTCTTTATAGATTTTAATTAGATAATCTTAGTTTAGTATATTTTTTAGTACTTTTTCTAATAATAAGATATAAAAAACTAGGTAGATATATATTATATCTAGTAGTAAAAGTTTATAGTTAGTATCTAATTTTTTCTTAATAATCTTAAATAATCTAAATTTTTTATAATCTAATTTATTACTTAGTCTTATTATTATAATATTTTTCTAGAGTAAGTAGATCTTATCTCCCTCCTTTAAAATTAGTTCTTCTAATCTGATTTTATTATAATATTTTTTTATTTTTTATTAGATAAATTCTAATTCTGCTTTTATTTCTATATATAATAAATATAATATTTCTTTTATAAGTATAGTAGCTAATATATTAGATCTATTAAGTTCTAATTAATTCTGAAATTATAATTTATAACTATAATTTATATATATAGGTATAAACTAGGTTAATTCTTATATTAAACTATTATATATAATCTATACTATAGGTAATAGTTATACTTAATTATCTTATTTATAGTTAATATATACTTATAGGTATTATTCTAGAGTTTAATTTAATTATTCTATTTAATTATTACTTTATA